AAAAAAAAAAAAAAACACATCATAGTAAAACCAATACCTTCTCAGCTTCGCATCGAAGCTAATATAAAATATAACATATAAAATACTTTTTGAAAAATGAAAGCAGGTATTTCATAATTTTAAATATGTGTAAATTTCGACTTTTTTAAACATTTTTTCTTAAAAATGTCATAATTTGTTTATAAATAAACCAAACAAATTATTTTTTTATATAATTACCTTAGATGTTTATCTTTCGTTTGATAAACGTTTTATAAAAATTTAATCCTATACCTGTCCATAGAGGTGATTCAAAATAGCAACTTTTGCAGCATAATTTTTGATTATGTTCGGAAAATACTGCGTCCATTAAACATATATTAAATTTAATCTTATATTACATATTATGTGTTAAAAAAATTTTTTTTTCTCCCAACGACTTATCTTCTATGTGCAAATAGCTTCCATAGTTAAAAACATACTATTTTTATGTTAACATTTTGTTTTAAAATACCTTATAAGGGTTTGCTATAGTAATGATGCCTTCGATTATTAGTTATGTTACATGAATCTAGATTACATTCAATATACATTTAAACTTATTTTGAATATTTTGCCTCCCTTTGATTGAGAAAACCTACTTTGAATTTTGTAAATCAATTTACGTTGTCTTTTGAGCTACTAAAATATAATAATCGCTATAAATGAGATTTTTGCATTTTTTTCTAAATTCTTTTTGACGTAGAAAACAATTTAAATGTCGTATGTTTTTCTATTAGTCTCAATAACTTCAATGAATATCAGGGACCCAATTTTAAGAATCTCTCCTTGTGAGAAAAAATTTCTTACTCATATTACACATTTTTACTGTGTTTTTTTGTGTCTGTTATTCATTTTTTTCAGCTCTCGCTTAACCAATTTTTTTTAACGAAACGTTAAATGATCATAAAAAGTTGATTTAATTAATGATATTACATTCAAAAATTAAAAAAGTGTTCTCCCTTATCAATTAAAAATTTTTTAACCAAATAAATTTCTCCACATAGACAATTAAAATCATTCATTTATAATGTTCTTAATGTATATATTGTGGAATTAGGTTTGATATGATATGTTTCAAATACAACGTTGAATAATATTACTTTGTTATTTATTCATTTTTTAACTCTATTTGTGTGTTCTTCTGTCATTTGACACGGTCACGGCATTGTTACCCGTGTGACATCCTGCAGTCATGCCAGCTTCTTCTCAGTCATCACACCATTTTAAACCGTTACACGCATTATCGTCGTGATGTAAAGTCCAACTAATGTCTAGCATCGAATACTCACCACAAAAATACGCTTCTCAGACATCTTCGTGACATCAAAAATGATTCGTCCTCCGTTTGGCGAAATATAGTTTCCGTTTTATCATTAGACAGCGACGTTTACATATTGTAAAAAAATATTATTATTATTGCTTTTTTTTTTTTGTTTTACGAGTTTATTCAAATAAATGGCACTACGTCATTCGATAAACTATTAAACTGTGTCGTCTTCCTACTTTTATTTTATTTTTGTGCTCGGCACGTGAACGTAACACATTCTACAATATTCCAAAATTTTTTATAACATGTTACTCAATAAATTATACCATCTTCTTCTTTTTCCTCGCCATTATCCCAACTACTCGGGGTCGGCCACCCTTATCCTAAACTTCCACTTGAAACAATCACCAACATCATCTACGCTCACATCAGCTTTCCTCATAACGTGTTCAATTACATCCCTCCATCTCTTTTTGGTTTTCTTCTACCTCTTCTTCCTTCAACATTCATGTCTATAACTGTTGTTACAGCTTCCGATTTCTCTCTCCTCATAACATGACCAAAATATCTAAGTCTATTTTCCTTATCTTATCTACGATTGATGCTACACCTATACTCTCTTTTATATGTTCATTAGTTTTCTTAACTTCTCTAGTCACCTCACTCATCCCTCTAAGCATTGTCATCTCTGATACACTCATTCTCTGATCTACTTTCTTGTCAACCGCCCAACACTCTGAAACATACATTATAGCTGGTCTCATTATAGTCTTATAGAACATACCTTTCAGCCTTAATTTCTAATTAAAACATTATTAAGTGGTCTAATGTGACGGACTTGGAGAGTCTTTATACTTTTCAATCTAATGGGTTTATCTAAGTTGAAATTAAGCTAAAAATCTTATACTCTGGGTGTTCAGGTTTATCTCACGAGTGACTAGGCATTAGAGTTGGTCATTAGTGCCAGTAAGCCAAACATTTTTCCAACTAATAATATTTAACGAAATGCACATTATTTTGAAAAATACCGAAAAATAAAACTTTAAGGCAAAAACAAATGAGCAGAGAATTCTAAATTTTCATAATTTTAATTTACAAAAAATATGTTCCTAAAATCACAACATCAATTAAAATTTTTTGGAATATTTTTAGTTTTGGAAATACGATCCTTAATTAACAAAAAAAAAAAACTAGCACATATTATAAAATGTCAGCCATCAAATTCTTTAATATCCACTTCAGTTTTGTTTATTATATAATACTAATTTATATTATAAATCAGGGTAATTTAGGAGGAAACTAGAAATGTATGAAATGTTTATAAAAACAATTGTCTATATATTTTTAAATTAATTTAATCGTTTTAACTACGGCAGTTATAGCTGAGGCAAAATATAAGAGTTATAAGGTAAATATGATTGTTGAAATTGGTGAATTTGTCATAGTTCATAATTATTAATTACTGGAAGTCAAAATCTGTAATAGTCTATGTTGATGTCGAGATTAGTAATGATCTATATCAGTTGAATCGCAAATTTAATCGTATGAAATATTAATTATGTTTTCCTTTTTGACTGAAGAGTTTTATGTTAGTTTGTTTGCGTTTTGAATTCATGTTATTGAATCTACCAAAAAATGTGGTGATGGAATCTAGTTTTCCATTGATAAAGTTATTCTGTATTTCTATGTTGTTATTAAAGTATTTTGCTAATTTGAATAACTAAAAAATGAATTGAAAAATATTAACTGTATTGTGTATGAAATAGAAACTTACTTCATTTCGATCAGTACTTTTAGGTATGTGTAGTGCTACGTTAGGAGCAATACTTCGGGCCAATTCGAAGATCGTTCGACCGCCACCTTCGTATTCACTACACATATTTTTCTCCAAACTGTATGTCTTATGGTTTTTGTACAACGGTCCTCCCCATGGAGGCGTAGTTACTATGACTTCTACTTTGTATTTCTTTACGTCTTTAGCTAAAGTGAAAAAATCACCCACGATGAATTCGATCTTATTCCTCACACCATAAATTTCCGCATTCTTCTTAGCAAATTCCAATTTGATCGGGTC